TCATTGGCAATGAAATTGGCTAATACTGCAGCGACCATGACGAATTTCCTCCGAAGCGAGTGGAAAGAGGACCGCCCTGTTTGCCGACGCAATCCGGCCTCAAGCAAATAGGGCCCCCTGCTATTTCTCGAATTTTGCGTTGGGGATGAGCACCAACCCAAAATCTTAAGCGGAATTTGGGTTCTGCGCATGCGCAGTGGTGAGTCCCTATTTCTTTGGGGCCCCCAAGCTTTGGCGCCCCCTATTCTAAAACTCTATAATAACAAAATCGGGAATTTGACATAAGAAATCAACCTTTGTCTTTCGACACCCCCTGTAGCGAAACGAAAATTTCAAAGGAATCGGAACTCACCAATCAAGTTACACAATTTTTTTTCGTCTCTGTCGGTTCATCGGGCGAACATCTGAATTACGTCAGACAGGCTGCGAACATACGGTCTCAAAGATTTCGCAAAGTTTAGTTTTTTTGTTTTTGTTCTTGCTCCATTTTGATTTTGTTATATACTTCATTCGTGGACGTCGAAATCATTTAATCTCAAAACTACTGTTAAAAAAAAGAATCGACGAGATTTTGTAGATACAGGACGTGCATTCAATCGCCGCAACAAAGAATTCGCCGATCGCCCACTCCCCATTTAACTATGGACGTGCGAAGCATCCAATACCGCTTCCCAAGATTACGTTCCTTGTTATCGATTCTCTTATCGGTGCTCGCTATGCCGAATCGACAGAAAAAAAATAATGCAAAAATCCACTGAGGAAGCCAGACGCTGATCCTTTTTTATCGCCTCCAGCCCCATCCCGCCCTCGGGACATCCCGCGCATGCGCTAGGCTCCCCCCCCCCCTTTTTTTTTTTCTTCGCCAATTTAATGCAAGTTTTTATAACGACAGGGGAGGAAACAAGAAAAGAAGGCGGGGGGAAGAAAATATGCTAATTAGAAGACCTCGTGCGCCCCCTCGCGGAGGACACGGCAGTAGCGTGAGCCGCCGGAGGGCAGTAGCTAGCTTAGGTGGCTGGCGGCGAGAGTTTATCGAGCCGCTTGGTTCAATGAAACAAAACAAGAAATAGGGGGAAAAGCTAAAGAGTTAAAAGAAAACAGAGAGAGAGAGGGGTGAAGGAAGAGCGGGCGAGGGGGACGCGTTGTTTCTGGGGGGCTTTTGCGCCCGTGGGCCTGGCTTTGGATGGAGCGAGTGGAGCGTTCTAGTTCCCTCTTTCCCCAATTTTTTTCCTTCCCTATTTCCAGTTTTTTTTTCTGGACGTCAGGAAAGTTTGGGGAGTTTTGCGCGCGTTTGTGCAATAGCACTAAGGGTGGTGGGAGATGAGTGTTCGCTGCGGGGGTGTTTCATTTATTTCGGGGATAATCAAATTGTCTACTCCTCTCTTCCCTCCCCTTCCCTCTCCACCTCCCCCCTATCCTCCGTTCTGAAGTAGGAACAAGGGCAGTAGGGGAAGGTGGGGGAGTGATTTAGACCTGAGGATTAATACATGAACAAACAAAAACAGTTGGGTCATTTTGATGGCTCCATTTTGATGGCTCGCCGGATCTCTCGTTATTTACCATCGTTCGTTCCCTTTTTTTACACCACCTGTATTTTGTTTTTTAAGTTCAAATCTTGTATATATACATTCTTGTATTGATGGGAGGTTCTGGTTCAACTAACATGTGAGCAATGATGTGTGCTTGTTTTTGGTCCAAAACTAATTCTCTTTTTTTTTTTCTCTCTCTATTTTTTATAAAGCTTTTTTTTTCATGCTTTTTTATCGCGCCTTAGGGAACTTGTTTGGTTGCTAGACTTCACTAGAAAAATGACGTTCATAGACGGAGAGATAAATAAACTTAGGAAAGAAAACAAGACCACACCAATAGAGGAAGGATACAAAAAATGACCCTTGGAGCAATTATTTGGATGTGGGTACAGCTCCGAACCCACAGAGATATCGGTGGACTTATTAATTTCAAATGCGCGCTTATTTTTCTTAATGTAACTTAAAACCACGCCCAGTTTTTGAATGGCCTGCGCAAGAAGCAGTCGACTTGGTCTCCGCATACGAGCTGCGAGGAACTGTCGAAGGGGTTGATCGTCTGCGAGCGTCTTAGCCCCTCCGCCAGCTTTCCTCCTTACCGGACGACAACGCAACGCATGCGCACTTGCGACTAATCTTCGCAGGAGGCGTCTGCCACATAATTGCAAACTTTCTCCCCGGTTTCAGTTGCTCCCTCTTTGAAAGAAACACTGACACCCCGAAAATGTTTTTTTTTTTTCTTTTTTTTTAATTTTTGCCAGGCGATTTATTATGGTTTATGAAGACTACCCAATCGATATTTTGCTACAGCGCCACTATATTTTTATTAAAGTAAAAAAAAAAAAAACTAAAAAAAAACGTAACTGCCCGAAACCGAAACCGAATCTGGACTGAGGAGGCAGTAGAAATATAGAGGAGGACAGGAGGTGGCGGAAGTCACGTGGCTTCGATACTTTTTTTTTCCCCCAGACAACGCACTTGCAGCTTTTAGAAGTCCCCCCAAAATAGTTATCATAGTTCTCTTTTATTTTTAATATTGTGTGGTTATATTTTGGTGGTTGTGTCTAAACCTTAGAAAACGGCCCCTGATCACGGAAAAGAGAGTGAGCGCGACTAAAACCGGCGAGTTCTCGATCAGCGGTTTTCGGGCGGAAAGAAACCGAATTTCGAGCCGAAAATTCTGTTCTGGGTAGTTGGGCTCTCATATATCGCGTACAAGTAAAAACCTTGGCGAGCATAACTACCCTGTCAGTGTCCCTTTAAAACTAGGCTCCCTGTTGTGCCGCTCCGTGCTTCCAACGCCTTGAGCAAGCGCATTCCAAAAGCACCGCGCAAAAAAAAAAAAAAAAAAAATTAATAAAATAATAAAGTCCGAGGGTGTGATTTAAATTGAGAAGAGTGTAGTCCGTCGCACCGCGCATGCGCGTTCTTTCGTGAAGCGCCCCTACGTGGCGCTGCGGCTACCACCACCCTTGGCATGCTTCAACCAGCAAAGTCAACCAGGGTCGCTACAAAGACGTTTACGTCTGTGTTAGTTTTGCCGGACTTCATCGGAATTCCGACGCTGTCTTAACGAAGACACGTCTGCACCGAAAAGACAAACACACACACACCCCAGAACAACGAGTGTGGCACAACAGCGACGTCGCGGGCAAGGAGGCAGAACCCAGCATTCGGAACAAACCCCCGTCCACAGACTCCCAGTGTTTGCGGAGCGAAGCGTGCCGCTACATACAATTGCAGCCACTGCAGGTTTTCTTTTTTAAGTTATTATTCGGACGAGCGAGGCAGGCAGGCCGTTTCGGTTCCTCAACCATCGCCTCTCTCCACGCACGTTCGTACATTACGTCTCGGTGTCTGTATGTGCGTGTACGTGTGCTGGGAAGCAAAGGGAGGGGGGAGGCTATGCAAATGGTGAGGCGGAAGGCGCTCGTGCGGCGCTGATTTAATTAGGTACTCATTAATTGGGAGGGCGCTTGCCGAACCCTGCCCCCTAGTTAATCCTCAGGGCGTGGGCGAGCGCTCGTGTGTGTGCGGGCGGACGCGTGCGTGCGTCTGTTTGAGCGTTGGGTGAGCGTGTGTGTGTGTGCGGTGATGGCGTGGCGTCTTTTCTGCCGCGGGGGGAATGTATAAGCCTTCTTCGGGGGATGGCTGGGGCGTAGGGTTTTCTAACGAACGCGTTCGGCGGTGAAAATTCCGCTTGTCTCGCAGCGCCGCCGCTGGCGTGCTCCTCCCCTCTTTGTCAGCCGCCGCCACCGTCGCTAGTGTGGACGCTTATTTTTGGGGAAGGGCGTTTTAGGGAACGGGAGAATAAAGATTGGGATTCCGCACGTTTTGTAGGGAAGGTGTATTTGGAGAAAGGGAAGATACTAAAGGAAATGGTTTGCTAAGGTTATGAACAGTTTAAGGAGCACGGGGTTTCTCGTTATTTCGAAAGTGAAAAACAAGGGCAGTAAAACTGCTCGATAAATACGGGATAAGTAGAAGGAACGCATTCAAAGCGCTGACTAACGTACGTCTTAATAGGGAGTTTTCGTAGACCGCGTTTCCTCTTCCGCCAAGCCTTCCGCAACGAAGCAGCCGCTACTGCGCCGGCGCGCCGATGGCCTTGACTGTAGAGTTCCGGCTAGCGTAGCTGGTTGCGGAGAGCGTTGCGGGATAGCGGGAATGATCTACGAAAACTCCCTATTAACGTTAAGTCAGCACGTGGAGCGAAAGCTTGCGCTGCAGAACCCAGGGATCCTGGGTTCAATCCCCATCCCTGCCCGTTTCGATCTGGATGAGCATCGTTTTGGCGTCCGGTCGTGTAGCACTACTGCGAGGTGCATGTTAAAGGCCCCAAGCTAGAGGTTGTACCGCACTGGCTAAATTGGTCGTCTACAGCTGAGAGGCAAGTCGCTTATTGAGTTAGATAAAGTTCAGGCAGCATAAGGGTGTATCTGTATTCCATCTACCATATTTTTCGGGCTCGTCTAAAAGTTGAAATTTTACCTGGTGTAGACTATTGACAGGTGCGGACTACACATAGGTTTGTTTCCTAAAGATCGCTTCTTATAACGAGCTGTGAGTGATTTTGTGAATGACAAATTATGTTAGTCAATTGTTTTGTGATATACAAGCTTTTGTGTTCTCTAATAGAGCAGGCATTTGAAGACGAGCTGCGTACGATAATCCTTTTTATCTAAAGACCCTGCACCAGATACAGACTAATAAAGGAAAAACAATTTTTTTATATAAAGCCTATTTTTGTGGTCTATACGCCGGATGAAGATATAGTCCGGGACGTACTGCTCTTGCCCGGTGGCTGTATGGTGCTCACTTATTTTTTTCGTAAAAATCCGCCCACACAGGACGCAGCAAATGCCGTGATCTGCAGAAGACGTGTCCCGCTGGGACATTTCTTTACACGTTTCCACTGATCCGACTACAATCGTAAACTAGGAGGGCAAGAAGGCGTGCAGCGCACATGCACACCCAGTTGTCCCTGGAGGACGCGAACAGTCGGAGCTTTTCTTGTAGCAGGGGCCCCAGTGGTGCCGTTTTTGTGGCCCCGGAGGCGGGGGCCGACGCGGCTCCCTCGCCGTCGTCCCGCGGAGGTCCCTGCTCGGCCGAGGATCCGGCGAAGTCCCTGACGATCCTCCGGGTGGCCTCGAGTTGGGCGGGACTCACGACGGCCACCAGGGAATCCAGGTAGCGCTGCAGGGTCGTCGCCAGGGCGGGCACGGGGGCGCGCAGGAGCTCGTCGCACGCCTGCAAATCACGGTGCACGCGAAAGATGACGTACGCGCTGGGAAAAGTAGCAGACGCTTCCAAAGGTCGCTCTATGGACGCTTTGCAGCAGCTGCGCATGGGCGCCGCCATAACCGGCCTTCGATTTTCGTTTCTTCTTAGTGCGTTTACTTCACTTCATCGTGACCACGGCAGGGCAGGTTATTGCCATTTCAGATTTAACTGCGTCCTTCTCCCCGGCACTGGCTTTTCTGGAAGCTCGTCAACGCTCGCTTCACTGGCTCGGCATCTTTGTAAGACCAGAGAAGGTCAGCAATGGCGGCTGTAATCTGGCGCGTGTGCAAAGCGTCTATAGTGTACACACACTCGGGCGGCTCCGACGTCACGCCGGTGCGGTGGCGCTGCTATCCGCGCATGCGCAGACGGTTCACCTCACGCGAATCGCGTTTCTGCGCACGCGCATTTCCCACACCCGTTGTGTGCAAACGCGGGCTCGTTTGGAAACAACGCGTTGGTCTATATACTAATTTTTGTCTCGAGAACTGTAGCAAAACAAGCACGGCTTCTCGCAGAGTGTTACAATTACTAATTTCTTATTTTCTGCTGTGAGTAAAACTGTTGCATGCTCATTGAAAAATACATATAAAAAACACTACTTGCTTAAGTGCCTGGGTAAAGTAGGTTTGACACAAAAACACTCTACCCCCCCCCCCCCCCCCCCCTTTTTATTTTATTTAGGGCGCGAGATTTATTTTGAGCATCGCAACCTGCTTCTATTTCGGAACGATGTGTTAAAATAGAAGTGTCCCCGAATAGTTCCTAACTCAAAATGAGTTTCACGGCATAAGTGACAGCGCACTTGCTTTAGGGAAAGTGTTTTAAGGCATACGTATGCCAGACAGGCACTTAAAAGTACGTCTTGAGAAGCAATCTTTGAAGCATGCTTCAATTTCTGGTCAAAGTGCACGAAATATCAAAATCGTTCCTAAATTGAAATGTGCCTCGCTACGTAAATATTGCGCTAAGAAGTTTACTTTTAAGGGCAATTTTGTCTTATGAAATACCTTTCATATTCAAGCATTTAACAACAACGAAAACAACTAACAGGATTTTGGGAATTCAGAGTTTGTCTAAAATATTCCTTTCTTTTTTAGAAAAAAACAAAAAAAAAAACACGTACGTGTATTAAAGGAAAAAATGATAGTATATCTTAACTTATTATTGCAAGAACCACGTCGTGCGAAGTGTAAATTATGCGAAAAAGATTTTTTTTTTTTGTGTCACAAATTTGTTAGCACATTCACGTCGACGCTTACCACAATGTAAGATACCTCGCCGGAGGACCTTTATTGAGTGAATATGTACGTGGGGACATAAACTATCGTTCAACTTTAGTCCCCCAAAGCAGGTTGCGACTCCTAACAACGATTGGTTCCAGTCCGACACCTCGAGTGCACTTGACGTACGGCTCTTTTCACTGGGTGAGGAGACGGATTACCGGCCTTCTCCGGATTTGGACCGCAGATGCATCGCTTCCGCGTCACATCGACTTCCGGATTTTCTTCCTCCCCTTTCTCCCCAACTCGGCGGAAGTGTTCCGCCTCGCTTCATTTCCTTCCTGCCTCCGCTTTTATCTGTTTGTATTGGCCACAACTCCCGGTAACTGACACAGCGAAAAGATTGTCCGTTACATTGTAAAAGCTTGGTCTGCTGGGCAGATTGGTAGTGGACATTCATATTAAAAATAGCGCAAAAGAGACGGGACAAAAAGACGAAGGAGCACACAGGACAAACGCTAACTCCGACTTGAGGATCTTGCAAATTCTCTTCCAATGCCCTATAGACGAACCCAATGCACCAAACAAGGAAGCAATGTCCGGTGGGCACGAGTCTCATCGCCATCTCGACGTGCAAGGCCAGGTACCTTGCCTACTGTCTTCGGAAAGGACAGTGCCCACCGGACATTGCTTCCTTGTTTGGTGCATTGGGTTCGTCTATAGGGCATTGGAAGAGATTTTGCAAGATCCTCAAGTCGGAGTTAGCGTTTGTCCTGTGTGCTCCTTCGTCTTTTTGTCCCGTCTCCTTTGCGCTATTTTTAATATGAATGTCCGTTACATAAATACTCCAAATTAAATGGGTTTGCCGATGACTTCTTGGTGAGTTTTCTGTTGTGTGAAGACGCACTATTCATTTTTAAAACAGCGTTTTATCGGCCCAATTATATGATGTATGGAACCGTCACAAAGAACCCCCAGAAAGAGCCATCACGTCAATTTCCCCACCAAATTTAGCGGGGAAAGTGATGTACCGTGGACCACGTCATGTGACCTCAAGTCACGTGACGTGATTTTTTTTGCGAGGAGGTTCTGCAAGGTGGTAGTAACTGCGCTCAACGAATCTTGCATTCCGCACTCTTTGTTAGCATGATCGAGCTTGTGCAGTGTTTATTTATTTATTTAGTTATTTGTGTATACTGCCAGTATTCAATAAAACGCCAAGGCAGGACGATATGGAAAGATACAAACGGTAAAAAAAAGGATACCCATACAGCGTATCAAACATGACTACTGAACAGAGAACTAACTGCTTCCGAAGGACGTGACTAAAAACAAAACTTTAAAAAATAACCCTTAATTTTTTTATTTTCGTGTTCTGAGGCAACAAGCTGTGGGAATATATTTTTTCCATCTTTTTGCGTTTTTATGCGAGTACTTTGGTGAAACCTTAAAAAATTGAGTAATTATGTTCAGTTCCTGCGTGAGCATAATGTTTCTTGGAATATGGCGCTTAGGCATATCTGTACTGTCAAAACAGTATAAAATGTTAATAAATAATTTAAAAAAATACGCAAAAGTAAAGAGCGTTACTTTTTAGCGGTAATGGTAACGCGATCCTTTTATTTTAGGTAACACAGGTCGGTAACGCGTTTATTTACTTTGCAAGTAACGAGTACCGTATTTCGTTACTTTTTTCAGGTAACGCCTGCAACACTACTAATATGACAGCAGATTCAGGAAGACTGTTCCGATCACCGGCGATATTCAGGAAAAAAAAATGTTTTGAATAGTACAGCTTTAGACATACTTAAGGTTCGATGAACGTTGGGTTATGTTTGCGTCTAATATATCTCGCTTCATTAAAAAAAAAAAACGAATAACGATGAACACTCAATCGCCCATTTCCATTGACGACATTACACAGAAACGTGAGGCCATCAATCCTTCCGCCGAATCGCAAACTCACACAAACATTGTTTTTTTCTTTTCTTTCCTTTTTCGGTACGACTTCGAGCACATCGATTTATGACCGAATATGCGGGCTCCAAACAACATCAGTGTACTTACTCTAACATAGATTAATGACCAAGTATGCGGGTCAAAAAGAAAAAAAAGAGAAACATTATTGTATTCTAATTTTGGGACACTAATTGAGTTTTTATTTCTTATTTACGATGCGGGCTCAAAATTAACTCGTACTTATTGTCTCCATTGAATCCAGGGCCGGCTTGCTCGAAGCAGAGTCTCAGTTGAGACTGCTCAAAGAAAGCGCTGCCAAGGCTCGGGCGCGCGAGCGTCTGAGACTCGGCTTAAGCTCGAGCGCTAGCCTTGACAGCACTTTCTTTGAGCAGTCTCAACTGAGACTCTGCTTCGAGCAAGCCGGCCCCAGGTTACATAAAAGAATAAAAACACTCCACCCGGCCCCACCTTTGTGGTACATATATCAGTGCCATGATATATGTACCTTTGTGGTGCATATATCAGTATCATTGCGTTGAAACCGAGTTCACTGACAACTTCAGACCTCCCCCCTCCCCCTTTACCCTCCAAGAACAGAGAAAAAAAAAAGGGGAAGAGAGTGTAGCAATGCCCATCACGGAGGGGTGTATCTAGCATCCGTTTACGGGGCACATTTTCAGTCGTCCATCGTCGGGAGACCTAAGCGTCTCGAAATACGACTCTCTCGACTATTTCCGGCTTCGGGGCTGCAACTGAGCACCCTGACCCGCGGGATGGATGATGGGACGCGACACGGCACCTCCATTAGCGCCTGGACAAATAATTGCTCGGTCACGTGGTCACGAGACGGCGCTGGCGACAAACGGAAGGCCAAAGGCCGCACTGATTCGAAAGGATGAACCCAGTCAAGGCGCGTTTCTTTTTGTCACCCGGTTTAGCCAAAATCTAACAAGCAAACGACAGCAAACGACGCGTTTCTTGAACTATCAGCGACTAAATTCTTCTATATGTTGTTACTCGTGGTTTGTCTAATATAAAGAAAAGAAAGTAATATTTATTTTTATTTTAATCTTTTGTTTGCCGTGAACATCCGCTTTCCGCCACTGCTAGCTTTGCGCCTGCTGCACAAATGGTAACTTTGGCACGCCCCCGAGTTTCCCACGAGCTTCGATTTGTTCTAAGCAGAGTTGATTTAGTGGTTTTCGATAACGCTCAGCAAGTTTCTAATTAGAACCATATGTATATTTGCACTAATTAAAAAGTTAGTTAACAAATTTTAATTAATTAACCCACCTATCGCGAAGATTAACCACCCACATAACGTCTTCCTGGCCGTTTAACTCACCTGCACAAACCGCATAAGTGTAACTTTCACGGCTTTTTTTGAAACAAATCTCAAAAGCTTAAAACAAAACTATTTATTTATTTATTTATTTATTTATTTATTCATTTATTTCCTCGTAGACGTTATCAATTGGTTACCAGCTATATGCTGTTAATTATTAGCCTGGTCATCATAAACCTGATTTTGTTTTTTGTCGGCGGACAACATACGGCGCTTGTCGCGGCGGAAAGTCCGGCACGACATACGTTGTGAAACTTTCGAGAAACCCTGCAATGAGTTGAGTGGCATCTGTGCGATTTGTTACACACATCACACACGTTTCGTATAGCCTGCATTTAAGCTTGCTTCTGTTTGTGGGTTTTCGTCCGCGTCGTGGGCACAGCAGTATCGAAGCGTCCTACGTCTGTGGCAAAAAGCCTCACTATCAACAAAAGAAAAGA